TTAGCTTGGAGCGCATATCAGCTTTTGGCAGCATTACCTTCAGATGACGAGCAGAATAGATTTGTGTGTGAGCGCACGGTATGACTGAAACATGAAAGAAGACATCCTTGTTGCTGGGAGTCACTTGTACTGATCTGCAATGGGAATTGCACCTGATTTGTTTTTCCCTATAAATCGGCCGTGTTTCGCCATTCGGATGAGCCACCGCGGATGTTGAGATTGTCCCATACGAAAACTACTAGACATTTTTCAACATTTAGGAAAACATGGCCATGTTCAAATAGCTATAACAACCGTTAGAACGATTTCACAGTCGAATGCCTACGATAGGATTGGCGGACTGCCCACGAACTGCTTGCTTGGCTCTTTGCTTAGCTCTTGCAATTTTGTTCGCAATCAAATTATTGTATTCGGACAGTAAACTCTCTAGATGCTATATAGACATTCGTTATTTATTGTTCGAACTCAGTGACAGTGGGGAATCTCCATTTTCTCACGGTTCCTGCTCGTCAACTCTTTGAATCTTCTTGATTGTAACAACTTCGTGAAGTCATAAATTCAATGCTTTAAAAACTATGTGATCGGCAATGTACATATTTAAATCTAGACAAAAACTTTAAAGAAAACCCAAAGTAACATCGAATAGGAGCTTTTTTTTACCGGTTCAAAATTGACATGAAGCACATTTATTGCAGGGTTTGAACAGTTTCGGCAAAAATTGTACATGTATTTACGGTTCTAACATTGCATGGTATTTCTGAATTCGTGTTACTCTTCGCCATTCTTGAGAAGCATTCTAGCCTCTTACAAGGATATCGAAATGAACATGGTCAGGACACATCCAAATGCATTTGCACTCTTGAAACGACTCGGAATCGAATATTTCCGCTGATTCACATTTGGTGCATTAAATCGGCAAGGTACAACAAACAGCCAAAGTCTTTCAATTCCTCATACTCTTTTGTTGACGTGCTGTTACCGCTTCCCCAGAATAAGAGGTGCGATTGAAGGTAGCTACAGTCGCACTGAATTCAAACTATTGAAGTCGATTATATGAGCTTATGGATTATTGCTGACGATTCTATGCTATTTTTCTAGCAAAGCGAAATTTTGAATGTTTTATTTTGTTGTTCTGTTAATAGTATGGCTTAAGAACAAAACTGAAAACTAGTTTTGTGACGCATTAAAAGAACCAATTTATTTCTTGCATGGTCATAACGTTCAAATCAATAGTTCTTATAAAGCACAAAAAATATTGCTGATTCTTCACACTACATCTTTTCATTTAACACAAATTTACTAGTTGCATATCATTTAGGAATGGTCACTTATGAACTGAATTCACTAGATGAAACCTACTTTAGTTTTAATGGATTTGCGCCTGACGCTCAACTAGTGGCGCAATTCCAGCATAAGAACATTTTAAATTTAATATGTTATAAAGAATCAAAATAAAAATTTCACCGATTCAACTAGAGAATGTGATGTGTGCCCAAATAGCGGTCACATTTCAGCAAACGTTCCTTTAACTGTTGAATAACTATCACGTCTAGGAAAGCGAGCACAATTCTCCCTGCATTCTAAATCGGCTTCGGAATAGATGTTTGGAGGTGCTAGTTATGGTCTATTTTGCCCAATGCTCATTACCAGAGGCCGTCATCCAAAACTTCATGTGCTCCTACAATTCTCAAATAATCTTGCGTTTAAGCCACATAGAACCCAAAGAAAGGTAACAAACGTGGGCTCATCGAAACGCCTTCCTAAAAAGTCGATTGCTCGTCAACTTTATCAGGCTACCTTATCTTCTGCTATGGACGTTTTCACTTTGTGACAATCACATTAGTTGGCGAGTGATAATAATATGAGCTAACCAGACATGTTCGGTGGCGATGGACGATGCTAGAATCTGAATGACGCTCGAGTTCGTTAAAATACTGAGCCAGTGTAAACCCTATAATTTCTCAGCTAAATTTTCGGTAACGCGGCAGAGGATTTTTTGATGAATGCCTCGTCATTGTGTAAATCATATTGTGGTACAAACAGAAGTAAAAATGCGATGCGGTGCTACGACTACTGCTGTTGCTCTGTCGGTGCTGTCTCTTCATCGCCCATACACACGCGCATACGCATTTAGACCTACAGCGTGGCTACGACGCTTGGCTACACTAAACTCCATTTGTTTGTTGAGGACTCAAATTCGTTTTCCGAACACACAATAAGTCGAATTCTCTTGTCGGTCAATTTCTTCCGTAACAAATGGTCAGCGATTGAGGAGAAAAACTCTTGTTCGAGCACCTTTGGACGTATACACCACACTTTACTAAAAAAACCTTTTGCAGCCACAGCGCTAATGTATTGCTGAATCCAATGAGTGGCTGAATCCAAAATTCTGCTTAAGAAAGCAGTGCTCTTGAAAGGTAAGAAAAGCATTCGTTGCCATTTTTCTCCGTGCCTCATTAACCTACGTATATAATTTTGGATTCGGTTTATAAAGTCGCCGCTATGGTTAAAACTCGTCACTGTGGTTCCCATAGTTGTTGTACGCTATGACACTGATTACTACACGGATTATTTAAATAGTCCTATTTTACCAGTCATTTGGTTTAAAATCGTTGCCTCATTTTTTACAAATTCTTCTGAAATCGCTAAATCGCTGTATAACTCTAATACGAAGGCATCAAAAGGATTAGACTCAAATGTGTAGTTTCTTAAAGAGGTAAGATGAGCCGCACTTTACTGCCATTCCCTAAACATTTATTTCGTCGTTTCGTGATTGCACTTTTTCCACTCAACTCACCGCGAGAGGCCGCGAGCGCGCGAAAATTTCATGGCAACGCTGCGCTGCGCTTCTAGGGAGTACTTTCATACGCATCCAACAAAGTTATAAATTTTCTATTACTTTAAGAGTTTCCCACTAAGCTAACTCCTAACTTGGCCGTGACGGCGGCTGTTTATTTCCTTTTCGTTCAGTTTTTGCCCTATTCTTACTGTATACTTCTCTTCCAAACATGTTCCATACAATATTCAAGAGATCTTTTTATGTAGCTAATGATGTAACGTGAGCATTGATACACAAATTTAATTAGGAAACTTGACTGCAACCCATAAATGTAGTAATATCAGCCTATTCGCTAGACGTTCGACATGTCTACTCGTCACTACTAGTGCAGCGAACAAAAGTTTCTGAAGATTTAGTGCATAATTTCCCCTTCATATTAAGCAGCTCGTGTTTTTTAAAATTTTGCTGCATCTTCAAAGTTTTGTTCTTCTTTGTGTTAAAGATTCTTTAGCGCTTTAATTTGATAGTGTTGTTCACTACCTGAATTACGAAGACCCTCCTATGATATCTTATTTTAGAAAGAAGATTATGATTAGTTCAAACCACACTGTCTCGTTATTCTACCCCTAGCGCTAAATTTTAACTAGTTAGCATATTTTTTCAAAACTGGCTTGCACACTAAAATTGGTTGTGGTTGAAGAAATCTCGTCGCCCAGTCCGATCACTTTCATACTACTGCTGTGGCAGTTTCAGTTTGGAAGAACTGTTTTGCTCCCAGGATCGACTTTCTATTAACCTCGGCATTGGAATATGAATGAGTCGTTTTCTTGTTCAGCAATCGCGAGATTTTTAAACAGCATACATTTACTTCCATAGAAAAACACAATACAATACTGCCACGACCGACTTTCTATTAACCTCGGCATTGATCAAGTGATTTTTTTCGTGTTTTTGTTGAGCAAACGCGAGGTGTTACTATTCTTTGTTCACGATTAAGCTGACGTTTCGGCGGATTTCGCCTTCTTCAGAGCCGCTTTCTATGAGGTTTCCACTAAGTATGTCACGTAGAGACCAACCGCACAGAAATCACGTGGAAGTATAATGTGCATTATAGTATAATAGTATAATGTGCACATTATACTTCCACGTGATTTCTGTGCGGTTGGTCTCTACGTGACATACTTAGTGGAAACCTCATAGAAAGCGGCTCTGAAGAAGGCGAAATCCGCCGAAACGTCAGCTTAATCGTGAACAAAGAATAGTAACACCTCGCGTTTGCTCAACAAAAATACGAAGACAATACGATACAACACAACACTAGCTGACGTTTCAGCAGTATCGCCTACTTCAGAGCCGCTTTTGACTTCCAATGAGGAAGTTTAGAACAGCTGATTATAGTCGCATGTGGTTGACGACTGCACCATCCCACATCAAAAATCGATGCGAACGTACGGGATCAGGTCGCGAATGACCTCAGGGCATTCGTCCCTGCTATTCATTGTAGGCTTTTTGGCATTTATCCAAAAAGCCTCAAGAAGTTTTCGCGCTGGTGTTTTGGACTCCTGTGCAAGGGTATTGACTTTTACTTCAAAATCGTTTCCGCTATGCTTTTGTATCCTATGCGTGCCAAATGGAGTACTTCGTCTTAGTTATCGTTTTTCTTCGTTTTTGACCTGTTTTGCAACATACCCCAGGTTTTTTCTGTAATATTGAAGACAGATCTTGTTCTTGATTTTTTTAATCGTCCCCCAAACACATGGTAGTCTACGGCTTCTGCCTTGAATAAAGGAATGAATGCAGTAGAGCTTTGTTATGCTTGTTTCTCGAGTGATTTCGACTCTTAGCAGTATTAACCTCACGTCGGATTTTATGCCCTGCAATCTCTCTACTTGAAACGAGTAACAAATGTTCGAAGGCAAAAAAGTTGATTTTGACTCTCATCATTATCTTTAATCCATTTTCGAACACAATGTAAAATAAAAGAATCAGCACTCATGAATTGTGAATGTTGAATTGTGAATTGAATTGTGAGTGTGGTGAAGCCTCCTTAAAAAGCGAACACGTCTGTTTGAACTCCTTCAGCGAATAAGTTTGTGGCGTTTCGTATTGAATTTCCTTCCGTCTCTTGATATGTTACGGCATTCTGACTAAAATTCGTCATTGAGTGTCGCGGCCTTCGAAGCATCTGGCGCTTTCCACTTCTCTCAGTAAAGCAGACAAAATGTTATTGTCACTTGCTTACAAAGCTCAGATCCCGTTACCACCAGTCATTCTTAAAGCTTTCACCTGCGCAAATGATTTTGTCAAACTTCGATTTACTAGTGTTTCTTGTTAATTCGTATCGCATTGGAATAAGTTTCACTCTGAAGAAGGGTTTTTCAAAACCCTCGAATGCTTGGATCTAAAAGACATTGATTTGACAGATGCTGAAGCGTTTATGTACGGGAAAGTAGATAACTTATTGGAACAGCACAGCGCACTACCCAGTTTTTTGGTTCGTGCTATTTTAAAAAAACGGTAACAAATTAAACAGAATAGAATTTGTCTGCTGTTTGGCGAACGTCAATTTCAAACATTCAAGCACAAAAGTTTTCGGAACGCCATAATTCTATGCCATTAGTGCACAAAATTGATTTCTTCAGGTTCTAGTTCATTGTGCCTCCTCTCAAAGGAACTAGTTCTTTTACTTAGACGGAAGTTTAACATTTCGAAACAAGACGCTGTAACTCTTTTGTTAAGCTATTTGTAGGAGTTATGTCGTCGGTCCATGCGTTGACTACTGTTCTGAAGCTTTCATGTAGCGGATTTTTTTTAATAGTGAGAAAGAAAAAAATCGTGGGGTTCAAGGAACGCGACCACGTTAGAGGCGTTCGTAGAAGCAGCGCCCACACGAAGATGACAAATTGACAAGCAAGACAAATGGCAAAACGGCTTGAAGGCGATTTTAGCTGACGATTAGACGTCGTACAAAGAAAACAGCCGGGCAGCAGATTTTGCTCTTCTCATCCATTGGCATATATGCACAATTCTAATTGCATTTATCTTCTCGAAGAGAATAGGGTAGAGCTATGCTTAATCAGACAACCACACAGCACACCTCCATCTTTTGCCTTATCTGCTTCTAACATCCAGCACTAATTTCCAACGATAATTCGCTCACATCGACGTTAATGTGTTGGCTATTATTCTAGAAAACTTTGCCTGTCTATTTAAGTGATCCAAATTTTGTCATACATCAAAATCGTCTTCGTTAAGTTATCGTCATCTGATTTCTTCTGCCGGCACGTTTGATTCGCCTTCGCGTGAAATTCTGAGGAATTCTTGCCCATACTTTTTTTTGTTCTTTAGTCGCTCTAAAACTTCGTTCCTTCTAATGTACTCCTTATTGAATCGAATCCAAATGTTACCTTTTTTTTCTGCAAGTTTCCGAAGTTTTTGTACTAATACGTGAGCATTTTCAAAAATTTCCTCGCACACTACTACCTACGCCATTCAAATCCACTGTCGGCGAGCGAATTGAGACGGAGAAAATTTCCAAATAGAATAACAACACTTTACTCTCTGAAATAGAGTCAAGCACATATGCTAGGATTTTTCGCTACATTGCTTGCTGTGGTTAATTCTCCTTCAGGAGTGAATAATGACGTCTTTAAGCGGGTTACCGATAGAATACTTGGAGTCGTCTTAACATCTCGTGATCAGTGCCGTTTTCGTCGTACTTATTCAGTTTTTCTTCTATCAAACTTCATCTGACGAACATCTCTGTTTAAGTGTCGATACAATTTACTTTCAGGACAACCGAAGGAGAAGCGGTTATTTTCACTTCTGGTGAGTTCATTCCATGACTTCTGTTGCGGTCTGTTTGTTGATCTACTCCAGCTACCATATACTTTACGAAAGCATCAATCTACTTTATTTTCTTGAAATAAAAATCAAACATCACATAGATGATTGTGGGTGACGTGGAATGGTGCAATAAGATGGCGTTCGCGTATTCAACATAGTCACTGCTTCGCATGTCAATCATCAGCTGAGCCACGAAAAACCTTACTAATCATGGAATTTGGTAAATATGACATTAGTTTAATAAAAACCCTTGTCTGGTAAATTCACTGCCATTTATGTTCCATGAACAGAAATTTTCCAGAAAATTTTACGAAGTATTACCCACATCACCGATTTATAGGTATGGAAAGTTGTTCCATCATCGAAAAATTATTTCAGCTTTTCTATAATGCTGAGATATTTGACAGAACTAGCTAAGAGAAAGGCGAAACGAGAGCCCCGCATGGTGTGGTGGTGAACGCTTTACTCCTCACAAAGGACAATAACGCGTTCGTTCCCCACCGCAGACAACTGCGGTCCGGAGTTTTGCAAACATCTCAGCATTATAGAAGTTCTATTTCGCAACATACCCTGCCGTTAAAAAGAATAGGCTGTAAATAAAAAGGTTGAGAGCAAGAAGTAGTTTCACATTATTTTTCCGTATTTTTTGGCTAAGATATTTCAACAATTTTTAGAGTTCCATAATTAGCGTTTTAACTTAAGACCTGATTAATTTCGATTATTTAAATATTTGTATATGGGGAAAGGACTGGGACTGAGTTTTCTAAACTGCAACACATTAATACTTCTTTGTCCTTCAAATTTAAATGAAAAGATAGTTATAAAATCAACGCTAGTACCTTATTAATTTCACCTTAAGGTGTTTCATTTCTCTTAAACGTTTGTTCCTAATATTTTTTCCATTCTCTACCTAACCTTGCCTTGTGTATGAGTGTTGTTGAGTGTTTGTGTACCATCTGCAAATGAAAGTTCATGCCATCAAAATGATTATCCAAAATGACAAAGAGTTTTGGATTCCCATCTAGGATTGCAACTAAAGATTAATTTATTCTCGGTACCTCTCGAGCTGCATATGCTCACCTCTTGCCAAAACAGTAGGAAAACACATTACGCCAAAAAATACAGTGCTCGTCGCATTTCTTGGGAGAGCTAAGCCTGCTGAAAAGTTCAAGAGCCCGATAGGATCAAATGGAGGTTTCTCTGGCGCTCGTTTCAGTTGTTTAGCGATTAATGGAATTACAAGTCGTACAACTGATGTAAGTTTTTTTGTACCTCATTCCTACACGGCTACCATACAGTAAGAATCGCGCGTTTGTTACTAACTAGTATTAATGGCGGAGTCTAAAGGATAAGGAGTATGTCCTTTTGTGAAATATAACTTCAATGATGTTGAGATATTTGCAAAACTCCGGATCGCAGGTGTATGCGGTGGGAACGAACGCGCTATTGTCGTTTCCGGGGAGTAGCGCGTTCACCACCCCACCACACGGGTATGTTCTTTTGTGTTTCATGATTAGTAACAAAACCTGTAATTGATCTATGGTCTGAAAAACGTAAAAGTACTCTAGCCGATTTTAAACTTGAAACTCAAGAGAGGCTCACAATATCGTACCTCCATTGTGACCAACTTTGTTTTTGCTTTTTTCCAGTGACTAAGCGTCGTGAAGCTTACCGGGCTCTAGACGCTGGTGTGATACTGGTTTGTTCGTTAAAACAATAGTCACTATGAAGCAGCAAACAATGAAGGATATATATAAATATATATATATATATTTATGTATGCTTCGAACTACTCATGACCCTTGCAATTTCTTTGCATGCAAATTAGTGCTAGACTTGTCTGGGAGAATAAAAACGCTGATTTGATACTACACGTTTACGACGCTTTATGAAATCTAATACATTGCGTATTCCTATGGAATAGCTCAAGGTTGAACACTTTCTAGAAAGTATATCTAGATCCATACAAATACTTTATATATATATATATATATATATATATATATATATATAAAGTATTTGTATGGATCTAGATATACTTTCTAGAAAGTGTTCAACCTTGAGCTATTCCATAGGAATACNTATGGAATAGCTCAAGGTTGAACACTTTCTAGAAAGTATATCTAGATCCATACAAATACTTTATATATATATATATATATATATATATATATTACACGACCTGTCTTTCACATGTACTATGGGGATCCAATCACTTCTATCCTTCGATTCGTTTCCTCGCATCCATCATCCACGAAGGTCTTCCAACTTTTTACGTGTGGCTTCATCTGCTGTTTGAGGATTTTACTTTCATCAAAAATGTCATTAAATAGATAGCTGAGCCAGTGTATTCCCACATGTTTTTCAGCGAGTGATCTTTTCCCAGACAAATCCTGCACCAATTTCTCGACTCCATAGAGACGAGAAGCTTGGTGACTCCGCACCAGGATCGAATCAGCTCCGTGCTCATAATGATCGACATAGATACCATTGTTCGATCGGCCTTTGTATGTATCCGTAGTACAAATTCTATTGTGTTTATAAGCTAGCACGAGGTTGTTGTGAAGTTTATTCGGCTAACGTTCCGGCCTTTTCGCCTTTTTCAAAGCTGCAGTGAGCCGAGTCGAATGGTCACAGGCATTCACTCCTGGGGCGAAATTCTTTGCGGTTGTCATAAGGAATTTTGTCCATTGGAGGGTAATTATATCTCACGAATATATGTTTACGACCTCGTCTAAGTCGTGAATATAATACAGCTAATGACTAATCATATTGCGAGGTTAAATGACGGCCGATTTCACAATATATGCAAATATATATATTTATGTATATATATTTTTTACCCGCGATTCATTGTTTCGTAACGACGGTCATTCATGGATTTGATCCGCACTTGAGCTTTTTCCTGACGATCTGTGGCGTTCTCTAGTCAAGAAAATATTTGATGCTAGTTAGTCGCCGCTTTCTCTCAAATCTCGTGCTAGTCGTGCGAGAACATTTACGAGTGCTCAGTAAATCCATGAGATTTTGGGAACGGTGACGTTACTGGTGGCCTATGAAGGAAATCCTTCTAGGAGGCAATAATTACCGGTTTGCTAATTCTTGCTGTACTATCCCCATCATCACATGCGAAAACTACCCATTTATACAATTTGAACTAATTTTTTTAGAAAAAGACTCTTACCATAGCTTTGTGCCTTCAGCTTATGTCAAAATTTTGCCGCAGAGGATGCGGATTATCAACGCTCACAAATTCCATCTAAAATGGAGGTCAACCGCGTCAAGTGGATTTTTGATTTTCAATATTTTCTACCTCTACGCATCCCTTCTGAGCATCTCAGTAGGTTTTTCACATGCTTGCTATCGAAAATGTAGTTGATGTGGTTAAGAAAAAGTCGGTTGCAGCGATCACGTCTCTATCGGTTTTTTTCGTTATTATGCTACCAGAATTTGTAGTGATCATGGCATTCATGGCAAATTCATGGCAAAATCGGTTCTAGTAGGATTAATCATGTGTGCAATCGAATGGTGATGAATATTTCATTAAGTTTTTCGCCACCTAAGTGACTGAAGTTTTTGTCATCAGTTTCACTCTTTTGAGACTGGAGCAAAAACAGCCATGGTTTAGCAGCTGTTAGTGGAAATTAGGCCTTCAAATCAGTCCTGGGCACCTTATGATCACTAACTTTGAGTAGGATTTTCGACTTCGTAGAAGTTGCCGCACGGGACATTTCGTACTTGTCGCAGAGCAATATCTCAAACTTGAGTAATTAAACCGTTTATAACAATAATAATTCAAAAATAACGAAATATAAACATTGGTACAATACAAACTGCAATATTATATCATGATCAATAAATGAGGGTAATGCGGGTTAGTATCTTTGCTATAGGTACAGAGCTACATTGCAGCAATGTTAATATACAACAGTTACCACATACAACAAGAGAGAACACCTTGGATCGACTGCAAGGCTGAACAGGAGGGTGAATACGGTATTGACGCACAGAGCTCTTTAAATATTTTTTGGAGGAGGCGGTGCTTTGGCACAGGTCCAGAACCTTTAGCGAAAACACCCATCAGCTTGCGTCTCTAGCTCCCCTGTGATCAGATGACTGAGGACGGTTTGCCGGACCGCTTCAAGCCCCTTTGTGTTACCGTACCGGTGATGGTTTGGAACAGATGCAACACACAAAAGGTTCCGATTGTACAAAAAGAGTGTGGTTCACAAAGGATGTTTACGACAACCAAAGTTTCTCTCAACGAAGTGAAAACGTTTACATGCTGCAAGATCGCGAAGCGATGCTATAGGCCACGAATATGGTTGCCACAGATGTACAATATGATGAATGAATAGTAACTATTCTGGCAATAGTTGGATCAATACATGGATCAATCGCTTAGTAAGTGAGTTCTCGACTCATTTCATAGAACATTATGTCTGTCGCTAAGTGGATTCACTAAGTATGGTAAACAAGCCCACGAGTATAACGTTATTCAAAATTGTTGAAGTGTGAAGAAGCCGATTTCCAGAGAGTGTGTGTTGCTTTGCTGTCGTGTATCTCCGAATTGGTTCACTTCATCTCATAAATCACCGTCGAGAATATCGAATGGAGGAAGTGGTCAATGCACTTTGCTCTCAGTGACACACCTCTCACTGTTGGGAATCTCGACATAGTTTGTGAGGTTGAATTACAGCGTGTAATGCCGGAACCCCCAGATTATGTTTAATTTCGTTTGTTATTAAAGACGATAGAAGTAGAACATCATTTCGGATTACTGTAACATAATGGGAGAACTGGAACAGCAGTTTATCTCGCTTCATTCACAATTTGCTATGGTTATCAGTCCGTTGGGAATAGTTGCCAACGCTCTTGTAAATAACTCGCTTCCGAGCAAAAGGTACTTCACGTTCGCTTCAGTATCTGCTAAGTTTGCTAAACTAATATGCGGGTTAGCTAGACATTTCATCTAAGTTAATATAGCATTAATGTCTTGCTTTCTTCCTTCAAATGAGAGGAGCAAAATTAAAAGCTTTTAAAACTTAATTTTCTGAATTACCTAGTTCTACAGCGCTGGCTTTGTAATGCTGTAGGAAACATCTAGTAGGCAATCACTGAGTTTACTGGGCCGGTCACCAAAGTCCCCAATGTGAAGAGAATTGAGAACTCAGCTAACCTGAAATTCATCTCAAGATGGACCTCAAAAGTACAAGGTGTATTGGATTGTTCTACTAGGTCACCTGTTCATAACGAGAGGCTTTTCTAAATATTTTTGCCAGTTTTGAGTTTAGTCTCACAAAAATTGAACTACAAGACTTCGAGAATTCGGTTAGGAAAATTGCTTCTATATTGTTCGTCAGATTTTGTACTTTCCTTTATGTCGTTGTTTGTCAAATTTCAGACTATGTGAATTATCCCAAACACATAACATTGCTATTAATAACCAGAAGCAGACATGTCTGCTCGCGGTTTTCCTTCAGACTAGATAGTAATATAATAATGTCGATAAATTGAAGGCAATTATGTTATGCTATGGGCGAAACAAGCAAAGCCAACCGTGCTCGAATGGCATCAGAACAGTAAGCGAACCCCTCTCTTAGTCTTCATGGAAAAATGAACGTCGAATCTACCCTGGTTTAGTTAACTACTTGTTGTTTTATTTGTGAAAAAAGAAACTAAAATGCTAACAGGGTATCGAGTGGCCACTAACCTTGTGCATTCAAAAACTGGATGGCCGCGGTTTATGGTTACCGGCCGTTGTCGTCTTCTATTCTACATTCATCGACGAAAAATACATTAGCAATTCACACCTGTTCGTACGCGCCGCGATTTTAACGGCTGAAAATGTCGTGGTGATTGAGTTAACGAACACATGCACATAACATCGTAATCAGATCATGAAAAACTTAGAAAGGTAGCAACTTTTTTCACAGAGACACCATAACGCAAAAAAAGCACTGAGAGATACAAGGAGAGGAAGAAATTAGATGTGGCAAGAACCGCGACAATCATTTATCTGCAAATGACATTTATATGAAACACAGGTCAGTAATGCTCAAAAAAACAACTCAATAATGAACGTAAAAGACAAGGATAAGTGAACATAAAAATCTCCTACTTAGAGTGCTAAGTAGTTTAACTAAATCTTAACTAGGAAGCACTGGAACAAATGTTCATAATGTTACTTCACGCCTCCGCATTTGCTGTGTTGACACTTGCTTCTATTTAAAACCGAAAAGGGTAAAACTATCGCTACAGGCGCTGATTTTCGCTCTCGAGTTTTGGTTAAAAATTGGTCTTTCTGTGATCACTGTTCTTGTCCCGTTCCTTCGTGTGCCCTGCATTTGCCCGAGGACTGATTTATGCCGTCCCTTGGGCGCTGCGCGTTCGAATAGCGTGGCAGCCGGGCACCGCCCCCATGCGCCGCCAGTCTTGCTTTTACTAGCTCTACTATTTGCACTTGCTAAAAGCCGTTTCCAACGCTAAACTGTGCGTTGGGGGACATATTCTTACATCGAAAGAAGCCTATGAGTTTGTCTCCAACATCGACAGCATTATCGAACAATCTGATTCAAAGTCACCAACTCTTCTGAGTACTTTGTGCCAGCATTACTTTATTGCTAAGATACCATTCAGCCAGTCTGTGCCTAAGCCGTCTGTACGACTCTGCGTTCATTGTTTTTGTAACGACGACTTAATGTTGCGGGCCGCCGAGTAGGTGTCGTGTGGGCCCTAATGGTCCCGATCTCATGTCCCTATCATCGAGCATCTCAGTGCAGTTTCCCCCTGTTCGGAGGTCACCACTACCGTCTACGCATTCACTCGCTTTACTAACTAATAACAATTACCATCAAAACAACAATTTGCTTGTTAGTTCTTCACTTGAACCTGTAAGAGAGACTACACCGCTTACCAACGGTGGGCCAAAACTCAAAAAAGCCACCGTACCAGTACCGAATCCAAGACGCCTTGTATTTCGTGAACAGCTGCCGTCAAATTTCATCGGCTTCACAGTATTTAGTGTGAGTATTTTTACAAGCCTTCTTGTATACACTGGCAATACAAAATTGCTGAGTAACATTTGCCCTATCGATCTCCATCATTTTTTTGTTGTATTCTGAACACCTTTCATCGAGAATGCACAAGCTGGGTGCTTTACATCCACATGAAAACATCAACACAAATTTACACGATTTCGCTTGTTTTTGGGTTTATTGCTTTCTTATTATGCCTTATTACCAGTTTCGTTTCCAATGTCGATCCCTGCCTACCCCTATCGCTCTATGAGTCTACGAATAACTTCAATACGCTTAATAAACGATCTGTATTAAGACTCATCCAGCTTTCCCTTGCGTTCATAACCATGTTACGTGAGAAAACGAGGAATTTCAAGTGGAAACAAGCAAACAACATCTTTTTCCTTGTCTGACATTTTTCTAACTCACCGTCTTCCCTGTTTCTACACACCAGAGACAGCTAATTGTTCATCAAGCTTAGGATATTCGAATTGTGTGCAACACTAAAATAAAAGGTGCTTTCACGGATGATTTATAAAGTTTTGTTTATTTTTGTTTCATATCATATATTTATTATTTCAAAAGTTCGAAAAGTACCTGCATTTTTTAAATAAAATGGTGGAATAATCAAGCTATTCATGTTTTGAAAAATTATTTAAAACTAGCTATGAGAATGCCACGTTCTCTTATGAGAACGCTTAGCCTTTTTCACATAAATTGCCATAAATGTGGGTTATTTACTGAAGTTGTCTAGAGCATGTTATCTGACAGGCAACAGAATCTACGGGAGATAAACGGTTGAATTACGCCCACGTATACCTTGATTTTCGGTCAGATGAATCTTGCATTCGATTTTTCGTACTGCTTTTGTCTGTGATAATGACAACTGTGGGTTTTCATTATGACTCCTAGCTTGGTGTATATCGAATGCTGCTCCTCATGTAAAGCGATAGAATGGAGTATATTTTATTCAGGTCTCTTAGATTGGAAGGTCTTTAAAAGATGGTCCAGTGAATTACAAGTATTCTACGTTGTTTCATTTATATGAAACGAGTAAATCGTTCTATATAAGCTGTAAATTTTTGTTTCGTGTTTGAAATTGTAGTGGGGTGATAAAGTCGCTTTTTTATGAAAACTCGTCTCTCTCCATTGCCAAGTATGGATGAGACCAGTTGTTTCTCTTTGAAGCAAATTCGGGTCATTCTCAAAGCATGGCAACTATTGTGTATCAGCTGAAATGAAATCGAGAAATTTGATTAAGAATATACTCTGTTAAAGACGTGCACTAGCAGTTGTGTTGTGAAATGTTCATCACTTCGGACCTTCAAAAATTTTTAAGCGCTTTAGTACTTGAAACTGCGAATTTTAAAATATGCTATAGGTGGCGCTTCATTTTTTCTCGAAGATATCTATCTTTTCCACAACGTCCACTCAGAATTTATCAGTTTATTCGGTTCACTTTCGAACTTTAGTCGTCCTACATCCCCATCACCATTTTCATATCCCATTTCTCCCTTGAAGTCTCAAGCTATGAAGTCATATTTTCCATACTATAGCGAAATTACTTGTAAAGTGGCTGCTTGCATCATTGTCCATAGTTGACTATGCTGATTTTTCGATACCACGAAAAATTTTCGTTGCTTAGAGTAGTCGAGGAAGTTAGAACTTCATAAACCTTTGTAAGACGATTTGACTAAGTCAGTACACGAATGTATGTGTTCTGTTTATAAATAAAATTATTGCCTCGTTTTAAATTTGCTTTGGCTTAAAGTTAAAAAAATAAGAAGGAAACATGTTCTAAAACTGTTGAACATTATCGTGGCTGACGTAAGCACCAACGATGCATCAGCGAACATCATCTTGTTTTGCTGCACGCAATCTCGCTTGTTAAATTCCATTCGTCCCGGAAATACGAGCCTTAACGCAAAAAAAAACAACGAGGAGACACTATTCCTGAAGATCACGAAATGAGGATTTCTTTTTTGTTGAATGACGAAAATAGTACCTTGTTGGCGAGTGATCTGCAAATTGTAATAGCCTTTACTTTGAGAATAAACTTCATTACTGTAAACTGAGATATGTAGGCTCAAAAATCAAAGTAGAAAATATTTTCACACGCTGTGGCATTGAAATCAATACGTAATACAATCAATGTGGACAGTGCGTTATGTGTTGTTTGTACTACTGGAACATAGTTGTGAAAACAACCAGCAGAATAATGGGACCGAGACAACGACAGCAGCATTAATGATAACATCCAAGAAAATTTTTACCTCGTAGAAAGACATATGTACCGCCTACACCGGACCTATTTCTTTCTTTTATTTTTTTCACTGCGCGACTTACAACACAACCGATAACTTATTGGTAGTCGATCAACAAAATCAATGTTGCCTGTTAAGATAAACCACAACGAAATCGTTTGAACACTTCGTGACTTTGTCAGTTCACTACTCCTTATCTTTCGAATGTGAATTCAGATCAATTTGTCCGAATAGCCCACTAGATGTAAAGTTGATGAGACACCAAAAAGAAAAGAAATCACAGGTATTCGCCATAGTTTTCGTGAAAATGAGGAATTTTAGATAAGAAACTTCTCATAGAATGGATTCCAAAAAAGTAAAACCATTCCTATAAATTCGGACTAAAATTAACCACTTTTTTGCAGATTTTGGGGAATTACCCAAAACTTGGCCGTTTATGCAGTCAATTGAGTAAATGATTAATCATACCTGCATTTCCTTATTTTTTCTACTGAGTAGCCTTTTGTTCAAAGTAGTATTCCCAGGTTTTCCTCAGATTCACGTACGATAAAATGGGTTAAGTTTTGAAGGGATCACATTTGTCGGTTCTTGTTTCGAATTCATCAACTGCTAAACAATCCAATGTGTCAGATTTCCGATTTGGTTTGTGTAGTATTGTTGACAATTTGCTAAGTAACAAAGAGCTCTAGAACACCTATTAATTCATAGTTGTTGGATGTAAAGCTATAAATCTTTTCATGTTCTAAATAGGACTTTTGTTTTTCTACTTACTTTGTGAGCTTATCTTATAAGTTTTAAGGACTTCACTCCTCTTTTCAGGCCGTAATTTGAAGAAATCGTCTGATCATAAAGTCATTGAAATTAGTTGGCTGGCAAAATTACTCGGAATTGTTCAATAGAGTTGAAGTTTGAATTCCTATTTAAAAGTTGTTGATATTTCTGTATATTTGTTTAAATGTGCATTTACATGCTAATGAGAAAAACACTTGCCAAGACCTTTTAATAATTGAAACGACGCCATTGGCGCTTTCGGAGCAACCTCATCTCAAGTCTTGGTACTTGGCAATTCTCTTGATCATCTCCAATCCAATGATGCGAAGCGCTTGAAATAGCGTTTGCGTCACCTCTAGCATTCGTAATCTCGTTAGTTATGGGATGAATCGAGAGCCCACAATTCAGGACTCAGTGCTGCCCATTTGGACCCTTTTAAATCGAGGAACACGAACAGCATTGTAGGCCACTATATGCGAAAGAATAGTCAGGCTTAGCTTTCGAATTCTGCGAATGAGGCTGTGAATACTCAGCAATTCTGCAAAACTAGACTTGTACACCATTTTTCCGAGGACTTGGAACCAATTCCTGTAACTTTTCAGTTACTTGATTGTAGGTTTCTTGTTGAACCGACGTGTTGAATACGTACTTGCATACTTAGGCGGCCCGTCCTCACTGGTTGTGAGGACCCAGCATAATCCACATTTTTCGGTTTTGCTGGTCTAGTCATTGTGTTGGCCTGCAGTTCCGAGGTCAGCTTGGCCAAAACTTGCCCCAGATCGTCACCACCACAGGTAGTCGCCGGCCTTGTGGATCAGAGGTAGATTTGCCACCACTAGTTTGATACCAGGACGGTGGTGGATCCTGGTATTGATGAGTTGAATGCAGTTCGAATGCACTAAACACAACGTGTGCATGAATACGGTCTCAAATATGCAAAGAGTAAATTTAATACGGCACTGAAGGGATGTGTAGCTCACTAGTTGAATCCACATCAGCCTTTGCTCCGCGTTTAGCCCGAAATTCTCTATCTGCGAATGCGACACGTTGCGCGGCCTCGTGTGGGGGAGATTTGGCAAGCTCTCGCGATTTCAGTACCAATTAAGACTAAATAGACATTTTTTTCCCTTTGCGATGCAATGATATGGAAAAAGGTATGTGCCGTGCAAATAATTCCAACTAAGGTGGCATATGAATGCGTCGTTTTCTTGTTCAGCAATCGCGAGGTTTTTAAACAGCATACATTTACTTCCATAGAGAAACACAATACAATACAACGCTAGCTGACTCTTCGGCAGTATCGCCTTCTTCAGTATCGAGTCATCAACCATAGTAATCAGCTCTTCTAATCTTCCTGATTGGAAGTCATGTAAAAAAGCGGTGAGTTTTTCAAGAAGCTGTTGATCATCTAAACGCCATAGAGTTTTTCGTCTTTTTGTAAGTGTTATTGAAGCATTTGGCCTAGTAGATTGTATATCAGTATACCCTTCCGAGGTCTGAGGAAGGCGATACTGCCGAAACGTCAGCTAGTGTTGTATTGTATTGTGTTTTTCTATGGAAGTAAATGTATGCTGTTTAGAAACCTCGCGATTGCTGAACAAGAAAACGACGCATTCATATTCCAATGCCGAGGTTAATAGAAAGTCGATCCTGGGAACTATTATAATGTGGCATATATAAAAAACCTCAACGAATCGTTTGCAGTGGCTTCAAATTAGGATGCGATTTCAAGCAGCAAGGATTCCTTTACAAGTTCTCTTTACATTTGTCCTTAAAAGTCTATTTGTTTACTTGCTATTTGTGATGCCTTCAAGTCTTTGTTAGCAGGTAAGTCTATGTCCAAAATTAGGAACAGTTCTCAGAAAACTCAGAAAGTAATAAGCCAAACATTGGAAATGTAATGTAGGCGATTCCTCTATGAAGCGCAGTCTGTGATGGCGAAGGCACATGAGAGTATTTTTAGTAATGTTTCCTCTATTAGGTCATAAACATGTGGATTTCATGCAATTGCACATGGCCGAACATAATTGCATCACTCAACCATAAACAGTAATATTTCAGCTCGTAGTAAGCTACATTAACTGGAGCAAAAACCAATCCACAAATCCAATCCACCTATAAATTAGAATCCACAAAATTTTGCCTATGATGAACTGTGGACAAAAATTTGACCTTTTGGAGCGGACGAAACACATTTTTTCCGTTGTTTCGCCGATGTTTGCATCTTCAACACCAAAGCATTTGAAAAGTAAGGGTTCCGACAACAGAGTGGAATAGAGTACACAAATTTTGCCTGAAAACTGTGGTTGCTTACTTCGATAACTTTAAAAGCATAAATTTCGCTTTTAAAATTTTCTACGGATACCAATTCTAAACACGGTTAAAATCCAGAAATCGTTTCAGAAGGGTTATTTTGTAATCAAAGTGATGGAGCCAAGTTTCGTCTATATAACAAACAGGTTCCCAACTCCCGAATTACCTTTCTTAGCGGGGAATTATCGGCGGTGAAAGCCAACATAGTGTGTTACAGGCGTTGTAGGATAACTACCAGTAACGATCATTCCCCAACGTCAAAGTTTGTTTTTAAGACTCCTTAACTCTTGTTTTATCATTCATACTAGTTGAATACGTCTTTTCATAACTTTCAAAAGTGCTTTCCCTGCTATTTTTTTTTATTAGCTGAACATTTGTCTTTCATAATAGTTTACTTTGACAAAGAACGAAACACCTGCGTACTTTGGGTATCTCTGATGCTCGCTGACTACTTTACTGGGGCCGTGGTAGAGCGAAAATTGTCTAGAATCATTCAATCAAACGTGCAAGAAGTATCCATCAAATATCCATCAAAATCACTTCCACCAATAGATGAGGACGATGTCTTTATTCTCTTTAAAGCACAAAAATTTGAACGGGGTTTGGCGAAAAATCCAAACTTTATGCGTCCGTTGGTTTGCTGTTTAGTTCTTAAAGCTCTTAATACCTAACCAGTTTTGTTCTTTCTTTCCGAAGTGTGTTAATTTTAAAGACACAGCTTTCATGGTTACACAGCAACAAAATTTGACAAGTTACCTTGTGAAAAAATGCGATTTCAGACTTTTTCTTTCTGATTTTTGATAAAGTTTTGAAACCAATCCGACTCAGTTGTTCATTCATTAGATCTGGGGAATGTAGACTTGTTAGATCTCACTGGTAGTCCCAATGAAGGATTTGTCATCAGGTGTGCACTAGTCGTTTCTACGTGTTGAAATTTTCATATTTTTGAAGTTTCCACAGGGATCATTTTTTTAACGTTTCAATCTTTGAGGCTTCAAGTCATAGGTAGCTTGTGTGTAACTTAGAAACTTGACGTCATCTCGTCGATTTTACAACGAATCTTTTCCATCTAGTAAACAGTTCCACAATTATTCTGAACGGTAGGAAATTCACTGCTTGAAGAATCCGTATTACCTTTTGAAAAAATTGGCCGCATCGTGGGCGTCCAATACCTTGTATATGTGAGCAGGTTGCATTTTTTTGTTACAACGTTCTACACTGCCTAAGCACTCCCTGGTTTAAAATAGTTTTAGCCTCAATTTTATCTTTCTCAACCTATTGAAAATTTTATTTTGGCCTTTACTAACCGCTTATTTCTTTACCATGGCAGAGTACGATGCGAATTAAAACTGCAAGGATGCTGAGATATGAGCAAAACTCGGAACCTCAACTGCGCTTCGAACCCATAATCACTCTTACAGGTGACTCACTTACATTGCACCCCGGGTTCAATGCTGATTTTTGCCTTCTAGATCATTTCCGTTTACGGGTGGTTGCCGATACCACAGGAAAAGTAGAAACATTCCAAGGAGAAATGAGAAGTAAGGGCACGGGTTTTTGTGTCCAATAGCACGTGAGACCATAGTAAGGGTAATCACGGTTTCGAAGTCCATCTGAGGTTCCGAGTTTTGTTCACATCTCGGCATCCTTGCCATTGTAAACTCTTTTCTTTAAAGATTTACGGATATTTCACTACAGGATCTTTCTTAGTTCCTCCATTAGCCTATCCACATTGAAAATGTTCTAGAGCATTTCACTTTTTTTTTCCCTGGAAATCGATCACATGACGTACCAATGCACGTTCTAAAATGGATCGAATGTCAGTTCTCTTCGATATATATATATATATATATAAATATATGTGTATATACATAGATCACTAATTTCAATTTATTGGTGGGTAAAAATGGTCAGTGAGCGTTAACGAGCTTAAATCATTGATAATCATATGTCGTAAGCGACGGCGCAACCAAGTAGATCCACATTTTTTCCTGCCAGGTACCCTAGTGCTTTCTACTGATCAACACCTATTTTTTTAAACGAAAGCACTAATGAATTAGTTTGCTTTAAAAGAAAGGTGAAAAAACCAATAACTAAACGCTTTCAGCAGTTATGTTTTCAATTCCGTGCAATTTTTCATTGATTTATGCAAACCGATCCAATCGGCTGGTTAATGAAGAAAATCGACAGAACATTCTTTGATTTAAACATTGAGTTCTTTAAAACTCAACGTTAATGGTGAGTGTTCTGAGGTGTTGGCTAGCAAGGCGGTCTTGCCTCATCAAGCGGCATTAGTGTGTCAGCAGAATGTATGGCGACGACGGCGCGCCTCCATTTGCATATGTGCCAGCGGTAAATCGCCTGCTCGCTCGAAATCGAAGGCAATTGTCTCAAAAATTCAATTATAAATTAGTTCATTGTGGTTGAAGCGGAGGTCAAAACTGGACCTGCGTCACTACTTAAGTTAGCAACTTGCTTGAACCTAACGACTAAATGAAAGTGATGTTAGTTCTAGTTTCAAATTTCGCATGATGAACCACGAGCAGACTGACAGTGCTTTCACTAGGCAAAATCCCGATCTTTTATAATTTCAAAAAATCCTATTTCATTAGAGTTTCATTGAAAGTATGCACATTCAAACCGTAAGAACATTATAAGCATAATTTAATAAATACCTAGACCTAGGTTTTAATAATTCACTGCTTTCTTGATGAACACACAGAGGGTTGTTATTGCAATATTTTTTCACATCAGCTGACGCCTTGCCGGTTTTGCGTTCCTTAGGGCTGTTTTGCTCTTCATAAGTCCTATTGTAGGAGGCCAACCCCACAGAGTCTCACATGGGTGAGAAAAGCATTCCAAGTGCTATTAACCTGCATTACGATTAGTGACATCATGCGAGTAGAATCCATCGTAGTTGACTTAACAATATGTTCGCGTAGGACTAAATTATCATCTATGTGAACAGTGGAATGAGAAATACTGCTGAACGCGTTTTTCCTCAGCTGGATCAATGACTATCCCTTATTGTTTTCCATGAAATTCTTCTGGACCCATAAAATAACTCAATAGAGGATTTCTTTGGGATGGAAGGCAGGTTTTGCCTACATTTCTTTCGCAATCACTAGTGCTTTTAACTAAAGCGAGGTTCGTCCACGTTGATTCAATTAGTGGTTCTCTATCCTTATGTTGCATACATACGTCGAGCTATTTGGGATTGGTCTGTTTTTTGTTTCACTTTATCTGGACGCGTTTTTGTAGTCAACGATCAAAGCTCAAGAGAATATCAGCGAAATCCACTGAGATAATTCTTTTGCAGATTTTTGTTGGGTTTTGATAATTTTCATGCGATAATTCTCAGCTTAGTCAGCTCCGATTTTGGAATTTCCGAATTGCTCTATTAATCTACTTTTGTTGGATCATTGAACAGTTATGTAGCTCTTCAAAGTCAAAAGTTTATTTACTTTACGAAGTTTAATTCAGTTGCAGTCGTTCATTTACCAATTTATTACAGTTTCTCCTTCACTATTACCCAATGCTAACAAGATTTCTTTATCCCGCACTGCTAGAAAAGCCTAATTTCCTAATTATTGTCGATATTTATGAAACTTTTGCAAATCTTGACCATCACTTTATTGTATTTTAACTTTCAATGAAGATTAAAAACAACGAGAACAATGCCCAGATCCGGACAGTACAACATCGAGAGCTATTGCCGAAGAATTTGCGAGCTAAAATCTCGGCCATCAATTTCACCGGATTTTGATTCGTCCCGAAAATTATTGCATTTTAAAAGCCTTTTCTCGATCTGTGTAGTGAGCTCCTCGATTTTTGCAGTTGTTATAGAGTCGCCATTATATGGCGTTTATCAAAGTTACTTGACTAAAAATACGGATTGACGGTTGGCCCTTTGGAGAAATGCTTCAAGGAGTTTTTCATTAGAACACAGATACCACTTAGAACGGTTGTCGTCACGAAAGCAGAAACCAGATTTATTTGAGGAGACAAAGTAGTTTTAAAGCCATTGGTCAGCAATGAACCTTCTTCTTTAACAGCACTTACATACGCGATGGGCTAGGAAAGTGCACAACAGCCATGATTTAATTTGTAGACTAAGAGATGTCAGGAATTTTCGCCTTTATTGATGATGTCCCGAAGAGTACTTCGCTTCAACATCAATTTCTGCAAACTAAAATACTAAATAAGGCTTTTGAAAGCGATATTTAAGATTAATAAAATGTTTACGTGACGTCACTCGACCTATGGAATTTGTTCCAATTGGTCGTGCATTTAATTAGCAGTTTAAATTAGCACATATCTTATTGGAAATTTACTAATTGTCTCCCTTTTAATCGCTACACCTGTGGAATCTATTAGTATTAGTAGCATCTGTTTCTCTGCTAGGCATCTTTTTATACTAATCCACTCACTGCCCAATCGTTGTAGATTTATGTTATTGAGCCAGAAATTAAGAATACATGAGAAGAGGAAATATTTGGCATGTTTAAATAAATATAAGTTTTTTCATCACCACAAGGCGCTGAGTCAAAACTGCTCCAATGTTCTGCCTAATGCACTTCTTTAACGCATATGATTCATTTGTATTAGTGCTTTGGGAAGTCTCACGGGTGTGCTTAGCCAGTTGTTTCAAGAAAGTAAGTAACAATTAAATAATGACACTTCTCGTTCTACCGTCGTCGTTATAGTATGAGAAAGTGAAACTCTTCGCTGGTCTAGAGGAAGCAATCGCGTTTATGATCAACTTAATCCCTCCTGCTAGTCATTTTTGGACTACTTTGCTTGCTTATCAATTTCATGCGAGGCAGGACTACCCAACACTATTAAGGATGGTATTTTGTCAGTTACAAATCTGTTTTTCTAACATTAACAACTTGTTTAGGCGCTCAAGAGCAAGTGTTCACATGTTGCATGTGTGTTAACACTTCTACATTTGATTCGTTGTTTTGAACTTGGCACTGACGGAAGTGGCTCGCTTCGTGCTTCGGTTCAATCAAAATTTGACGACCTTTCGTCTTCTCTTCTCGTTGACAAGTTGAATACTAGTCCATCATGGATTTTACTGCAATCCCTAGAAAGCTGTGCTATGATATTCCGAGGTCTCCACCACAGGCAGTCAGTTTAAGTTAAACAGGGGGAGTTTTGCTGCCTTGCGTCTAAAATTCTTTACGTACTACTACGAATACTGGTTTATTACAATAGATAAAAAAAAGATATAGGGATAAAGCTCTCGGTTTTCGATCCCTGGGGGATGCGCCATGCTTTCGACGACATTGAGAATTGTTTGGAGGTGACTGAATGCATATCAGGCCTTTACAATAACTCACGGTGGCCTAGCAATGTACCGAGCCAGTGCTGCTATCCTCCCAGGCAAGTCCGGCACCGATTTGCCGAAACCAGAGTGATGGAAGGCTTGGTAAGCCACAGGCGCAGGGATCGATTCCATGTGTGTGTCGGAGGGCACCTCCGACCACTGTGCGACATGCGTTCTAGGAATGATATAACAGACTGAATTCTGTGCTTCGACACAACTAGACACAGCAACTAACGTCCGAATTTTTTGATTTTCTCTGAAATCCCTAGTTTTTGCCTTTCTCAAAGTTCGAATCCTTCCTTTTTATACTTAATGATTCTATTGCTTTGGTCGCAAAAGAACAGAAGCCCTCCAACAAATATGATCATCTACATTTCAAGAAATGTTCGTAAATCACAAGGAAAAAAGCTGAGCTTCGTGCAAATGTTTCGATTTCCGAAGGTGAGATTGTTTATTTATATTAATAGAAATGTTTACAATAATGAACAATGAGAATAGAGATCTACTCGTAGAAATTGACTCCACCCTATGCCCCATAAAAATTGAGTAATAAAATCTTGATTTGAATATGTTTCAGGAGTTTTTGGAAAACTCTACGTAAAGTTCATGCGAATTTTTCTTCAGTTTTTCCCTTCAACTTGTTTGCTATATTTAAAGTCTTAAAAAAATTTTAAGTTCACGAATTTGTGCTAGACAATAAGATCTTTTCAACTATTTCTTACGAATTCAATTGTTTCAACTCCTCTTATTTTATTAGTTTAACAAAATTTTTTAGCTTTGAAAATTTCATGGACTCCACAGTATTGCTTCTAGATTCAAACACCACGAAGATCAGTGTATGCTTGCGAATATGTGACCCCTATTTAGCAACGCTCCAATTCGTGGTTGCCCGATTTCACGCTTTGCTAGACAGCTGTCAAATGTCTTTGATAGAAGCTTTATTTCAATTATGGCACGCCGTATGCAAATGAACTTCGTACACAAACACTCCTCCCAGTTTCTTGTTGAAACTGACTTAACGATTTTCGATAAGAATTGTTGACAAATGGAGAGGGCGAAGTTCTTGTTTATATGTGTGTCTGAGTGTGCGGGCGATTAATTTCATCTCAATGACAAAAGACCTCCCAGTGGACCTCAATGAACAAGTGAAAATCCTACATAAAGTAGTAGAATATCCAGTGGTTTGAGCAAGATGATCAAACCCGATAACTAAACGGTCTAAATGACTCAGAAGGATATGGCAATCTTTGCAGCATTTTTGTCTTCATATAGCTAGTAATTGCTTTGTCATTATTCTTCTGAACATTACCTCCTTTTTAATACCTTAGTCATATCACTATACTTGATTTTATGCTTAGCAAATTCTAGAACTCTTTGATGATGTTTGGTAGTTCAGCATCATTACTGGTCAAGAAACTTGAACAAAAGATATATTACCTTTAAGTCAGTGACTTACTACTTATGCTTGAAAACTATTTATCCATATATAGTTAGCTGGATTATTTCAATAAACAGTGGTGAATTACGCAACTGTCGAAGTATTAGAAGTATTTTCAGCCACCCAGGTAAGTGTGCGGCTCGAACGACTTGCCTAGTGCTTGGCCTCAAACGCACATTTCTTCCCCAGGGATTTCAGTCCATAGCGAAATCACAATCCTCATTATAAAAATTTTGCTGAAAGAGAAAGAAAATGGTCACTGTGTATTCATCCGTACCCATCTAATGGCAACATTTCTTTTGTTTTCTCACCAAGTTGTCAAAAAGCACACTTACAAAATAAGAAGCTCGAAAATACTGTGGGACAATATTCAGGTGGCTATGTATTAACTTGAAACGTTATCTTCAATATATTCTGAGAGAAAGATAACTACCGATGAATCAGAGATTACGGAGGACTGCTGCCCTGACGAGAAATTACTATTACTGTGTGAAATGCGCCTTAAATATAACGGAAGCTGCCAGAAATTTGCATACATTTGGCCATGCTTCACGAGGAAGGCATCCCATGTCGCACACACTAGAAGCGCTCCTTTCGTAACTTTCGGGAAAAAAGGATTGCTGGAAGTATTCTCAAACGCAGTTGTGAAATGCCCTAGGAAAATCGGGCGCTGCAACAGATAGCCTTAGCTCAGTTCTTCTATATTACCGTATGATTTTTCGGCTTTCTATTCTAATTTATTACCTTGACAAAGAACTGGAAATTTCATGCGCCATTCCATAGCATTCTCAAAAAGATCTTCTGTTTAGCATAAAATCGACACTTCTTTGAAATTCGGTGAATTTGAGCGAATAAGTAGAGGTCGACGGAGATTGGGAGGTTAAGGCATAAGTTTCTCGTCAAATATTTTGCCAAATCTAAGAACAGATTTAAGCACCCTGAACTCTTGGTCAAAAAAATTAGGACATGTTTTCATTGGAACGCATATTTTTCTGTTGATTTTGGTCACTAGCAGTTAGAATCTATGTAGAATTTAACATGAAGATAAACATTCGCTGGAATCACTGGTACTCAGACGAAAGCAAATATAGCGTATTTTGTTTAGTCTTTAGGCAAAACTACTGGTACATAATATAAGCATGAACGGATTTGAGGATTGAGAACAACGTATTTAGGAAGATACATTCCTATTTTAAATTGTCTTAACAGGTTGAACTTTCTTACTGAAGCGCTTAGCTAAACATGAGGCAAAGCACTATGGAGCCTTACACTACTTGTCTTCGTTTAAGCTTTCCTAAGCATGAACTTGCTAGGCTTATCAATACGCTGAATGTTACTGTTTGGAAAAGTACACGCCTTTCACATATTTTTTAAACTAGTTGGTAACCACGGTATGCATATGCATGTTGTGTGTGATGTCGAACAAATCTAAGTATTATGTATGTATGCATGTATGTATGTACGTATGTATGTATGTATGTATGTATGTATGTATGTATGTATGTATGTATGTATGTATGTATGTATGTATGTATGTATGTATGTATTTGTGTATGTGTATACTCACTTGTTGTGTGAATGATAGCAAGATGCTTTTACATAAAATTTTCAAGCACGAAAAGCGCTTTTTAAATCCGTAGAGCTTGAAGGAGCCACAGAGCACATCTACGTCGGGTTACAGTTCTTTTGGTTGTTACAAGCACTACCGTAGACCACTCCTCTGAGCAGTGGCCAATTCGGATCTCTGCTATCAAGAATTAGGAAACAGTTAAGGATGTTATATGAAACTGCCACCGGGTTTCCCCAATATACGATTCCATCTGCCTGAGTAAGGAGATGTTGACTGCACAATCTCGGCACCTTTTCCGTGGTAATCGTCGCCGTGTCACGCCCCTACGCAAAACTGCTGTTTGTCGCGGCTGGTGTGGCTGTTAGCTTCGCTCCTCGATGCCACATCTGAGACCTTTATGCCCTACTAAAGTCGTCAATCTTTCCCTAGTGTGATAAGTCGTATGCTGAAAGTGCTGCTAGCTGCTATTCTTGTTGGATCTCGTGCCTTTGTCTCCTATTCATTTGCTCATCACCATTCAAAAATTTATGAAATGCGTCCTTTTGACAATAGCGTGGAATGAGATGCATGGACATGTGTCGTGGCAACGAATTGCTGGGCGTCTAGGAAGGTATAAGGTAAATTCAATATTTCTCGAAAGTCTGAATATACTTTTCTAACAGTTCTCTACTAGTTAATAACTTACAAATGCCGGTTTTCGAAATATGAGCACTGACTATAAATGCAGATAGTCCCTTATAGTTTTGGCCATTAATAATTACTTATCTTTCTCCTCCTACGTCTCTGAAATGATTAAGAAAGTCCAAATGCGTTTTTATTTGTGAACCGTTGCTATAGTGCTTCCAACCAGAGAAACATGCTTTAGTGGCAGCTGCCAGACATCATACCTCTGTCGCCCAAGTTGAAGAAACCGGACTTTCCAGTGAAATAAATTGCGAGGAACAAGTTAAATTACTTGAATTTTTTAACAGCGATTGATTATTCTAGTCTTTTTTTGATTTTATCTAATTTGACATTTTTCTTCACAATAGTCTAAGAAGAACAATGTTACAATGGTTCGGAAAATCAGTGGAAAATGAGTGATTATGTATTTGGAAGACGATCACAGACATTCTTAAATGTGAAGTATACTTTTTCTTTTTTAAATCGTTAACTAGGTTTGCAAGAAGAGAGGGTAATGTTGTTTAATCACATGCTACACTTCTTTTTTGTGTCTAAAAGTAATTGTGCGGCAAAAAAATCTTCCAGAGCTGGCTAATGGCTCTAAAACAGTAGATGTTAAAGACAAACTTATGAGCGCTTTTCTGCCTTTTTCACTCTAAAATTGTCTTCGTCGGACGATTAACCAAATTTTGATATTCAATCGTTATTCATTTCTTAAATCATCATAAACAAAGCGGAGAAAGCATCTATCGTGTTTATCCTTGAATAACAAAGAATAACGCCACAGCCATGCACAAGGGCATCCATAGATGTAAACATACATAAATGCATGCATACACACATGGACACACACGGAGACATACCAGTGTTGTACCAATCACATCGAAGGTAAGACATCCTCATACCATTTATAGGATACGCAGTAGTAAAGAGTAAGCCACTCGGCGCATAAAACAACCTAGGACAAGATCGTTATTGAATACGTTAGTATTCTTCACACGCAACATTCTGTGCCTCCAGGATTTCTCAGAAACTTAGAGAATTCAAAGGGTTGTAAATAACTTTTCATACGCTGAAAAATAATCAGATATTCGTGACACATATAAGATAGTGTTATATCCGATTGAAATTCTCGTTTGCGATGAACCACTGTGCTGTGCTCGGGCCAGAAAAACGCGGAATACTGAAACCAGTTAGGAAAAGTCCACATTTTTTTCAAAACATCGTTTAGGTTAAATCTGTATTGAGCTATAATGGACACGTTTGTATTTGTTATGAGTGTTTACTTGGAGGCATTCTAAAACGATAATGTAATTATAAACCTTTATCACATAACATGTATGATTCGAGTAACTGCGAAACATAAATGAGCTCACACTAGTCACTAAATGCTTGCCTACACCTAGTACACATATAAGATCTTCGCATGACTCATAAGAGAAGTGCTGAGAATTTAGTCCTTTAAAATATTTGAATTGCCCAAAGAGTATCCACACTGTATAAACGGGAAAAAAATTACCACCTCCATTTCAATTAAGCCTTTAGAAAATGCGACAAAAAGTGGTTTGAGCGCTCATTTTTAGTATGTAATTTATCTGGGATACTTTTTATGAAATAAATGTGCTTTTGTCACCATTGGAAATGTGAAATAGCATAGAACTTAGGGAAAATCGTAGATATATCATTGCACTTTCATTGTCTCGGCTTCTTCAGACCTAATAGTTTTATAATCAAGAAAAGTAGCTTGGTCATGTCAGAAAATTTACGACTTTTGTTAAATGTGAGAACCCAGTTGATAACCAGCGCACTAGCTCAAACAATGACATTTTCGTATTAGCACCTAAACATTGGCGTCTGTGTGTTTCAAAATCACGCAAATATGTTGATGAAGTAGTCGAGCTGAAACAGCCGAGATGTGGTTTGCATTGTTTCCATTTCTTTTTGTCCCCTCCGTTCCATACTTGAATCACTCCATTGTCTCTCAAACGTGTATTAGCAACAACGACTGCATTAGATTGCGTGGTGAATGAAGGAAAATCGAAAACTTCTTTATCTACGACGAGAAACAGTGCTGCATTTAGGTTTTCGTTTAAGTAAAGGGAAAATTTTTTGGAATTCAGTGCTCTTTAATACTCATCATCTTATTACGGCACAATGGCATGAGAGGGGACGTAATGAAATACTTCATACTTCAATGGTTAAATAGTTCTTTTTAGCAAAGAGACGTGGCTGGCCTCTGAACAAATTCTATCTGACCAGTAATTTGCTGAACGGACAAAATTTTTCCTTCCTGGAGTATTCTCAGGACAGCACGACAGGCTGCGGTTGGGTCTTCCGGATAGAAACGAGATTTGCCATTTGCTGCAATGCAACTACATTGCTACAAGAGCTGCTCGATTCATGGCGCTGATTCACTTTTAGCTAAGACTTTCTTATGGAATCTTCGAAACCTTTCGTAGCCTGAGCAACTCTTCTGTGAGGTGAAATGCGCTTTGTGGATCGCAGTACGACATCCCAAAGGACGCGTTCTATGAAGAGGCGCTAAGCCACTAGAGTGAGGCAATGAAGTATAGACGTAAAGTACGATTATTCAAAAAAAAGTAAAGCACATTTCAGGTTCAAATTAAAATGTATTCTTTGCAGGATACAAAGAGCTTTTGTCAAAAACAAAAGATAATTGCTCCTTTGAAAAATCACGGGCGATTTTGTTCATAGGGAAACATTATCTGTTTACTTTTATAGTAAATGAAATGATTATTTCCACTTAAAAAAGTTCATGTTACTGCGTAAAGGAACTATAGTACCGCTGACTTTTTATCTCATGTCTAATGCTTCTTTTTTCTTTGAACACGGGGAGTGATCGAATGTTCTGAATCCTTTTTTTCCATTGACAATGATGGCTCAAATTTAAGCGGTGCTATTCACTTTTGGTAGCCTACTGTATAAAATGTTCAAACTAAGATGGCCTGTCAAAAGATAACTTGAATTTAACGCTCGGCGCATTCGAGGCTCTCTGTAGTTCGCATACTTATGCGCTCATCCACTTGCCAAGTGCTAGCGCCCTCATTGCTAGGCAGCAGTTCCGACCAGTACTATGTCCTAAATAGCAGCAATTATTTCTATGTACATTGCATAGTCTTAACGAAAGAAAACTACCTATTCTATTTAATTATTATTGTTCCATTAATGCTGTGAGAAACAACCACCGCTCAAACTGTCGTTCGATCCGCAACTACCTGGTGGACTACGGTACATCGATAGTTCTGTAAGCACCATCGATTCGCAACGTAACATTGCAACAAAATCAGCCGATTCGACCGGTGGCCGTACATCTCCAGACGAATGTATGCTCGCTTCGGAGGCTGAGCCGCCGCTGCTCTCGCGGATCGTCGGAGTACCACCTCCACCACCACCTCGAATACCATCGACCACTGCATTACTTCGTAGACCTTCTGCAAAACTACCTACCAGCCAGAAAAAACCGCCTAAACGAGGCTGCACTGACGCGAGGAACAAATACGACGAAAGTTCATTCAAGGAGAAACAAGAATATACCAACGTACTATACTTAACATATTGTAAGAATTGATAAAAATCAATATATTCATAAGAAGGAAAGGAGATTGTGGTTTGTAGTTTAGTATATCGGAAAAAAAGTTTAAGAAAATTATAAATATCCGTATTATGATTGTTCTGACCATCTTGTAGTGGTGTACATAACAATTCGTTTTTTCAGCGTACTCCACTAGAAAAGGCTCGGCACCTGGACAATTTACCGTCATACCAGGTAAAGTCACTTGGAATTTTAACTCTCTATTTTAACTGATGGATATTCTACGAAAATAATTTGATTTGTTCAAAATTAAAATTAACTGTGAAAAACTGATCTGGAAATTTACCTATGCATAGCTTAGTTTTTCTCCTTATGAGATGACTAATGGTGCACAATATTTGATTCAAAAGTCAACTTTGCACCAATTATTGAAAACACCTATTTCCAAACAAATGTCCTACTAATTGTCTTATAACGAGATACTTCTTCCCTAAAGGTCCTTTTGCATACTATGGTATTTTGTTTTAAGTGCGAAATAACTTGGCTATTTGCTTTACTGACTCGAAAAAGATACCGTAAATTGAGCTGTCAATTCGAAAAATCAAAACGGTTTAACCTAAGTTCTAAATTCCGAAGCATAGCATTCTATTTGCTTTCTCCCTGGTGACAATTCCTATTCTTCAGAGAGCTTTTGCTTCGCACATCGCTGTTTGTTCCTGTTTTTTTTCTTTTTTGCCGACCATCATCAACTATGTCTGCTCCGCATTGTCTCGAACAACATGTATAAGCGCCTCCTGAACAAGGGAACAGAAAGTGGTACAAATCAAATATTATAATCAGCTTCTGTCGGCCCAGCGAAAGCGTAACGTCCCTGAATCCAGCTGCAGAGAGACGTCTACACAAACTAAATACGTGTCAAAAGGTGTTTTCGTCGTCCACTTATTGCATTGAAGTAGCCATGTATTCATTTATAAAAAAACAATATTGATATCAAGCAATGTTAAAGAAACTGTAAAATGCCTACGTTTTCCGGGATGACCATGGATTCTCATGCCCCACATATTATTTCGTACTCTTTGACGTTCATGGGCTCTGCTTCTACTTTTCTTTATGCGTATCGCTTTAGTACACAATGTACTAGGGCGAGAAATAAGGAGTGAAGCTGTTTCACGATCTTCACGATCTTCTACACAAGTATTTCTTTGAGCTCTTTTTCGACTACTGATTGTACTTCCATTAGTCATTGGACGGTTTGAGTCTAGCGATGGTAAAGTCTTCTTTCGTCGTGTTACACGTTATGCCCCACATTTTGCTTCACTTGCTCGTTGAACATAGAAAGTCTTTTACATTTTTTTTCACAAAGCATCATTCCATTCATCCAAAGCATTCCACGCACTTTTTTTGCTGAGCTTAACCTTTGAGGCCTTAGTTTACCCATGAGTAGTTTGTCGTCTCTCGTAAACGTGAGGCTCATTAGTTGGACGCAACTCCAAATCGCCTTCCATGTATTTCCCAACCACTTGATTGCGCGCTTCTTGCTCAATCGACATTCAGGAAACATTTAACACAAACACAACCACGCACCCATGAATATATCTAGGTGAATACCGAAATCGGAAGTCAATTCGATGAGGTAAAAGGAGTGGACTCATCCTCCTAATTCACTTGTTCTCACGGCAGTTACTACGTATGCTCGCTTTCCGTTCGCATTTTATCAGTTGTCCATCACATCATCATTCATCACTGAGGATAAGCCACATAACATCTTGACTAATCGCCTCAAAATCTCTCATAAGAGAATGGTCGGCGGATATTGACACGAATTGCAATCTGATTGCTATACTGAAAAGAAACAGGATGGAACTTACACTCTCCAGTCGAGGAGCAGTAAACATGTATATTTGTGTGTAAAAGAGGACGTGTATCAATGTGTAAAATCCGCTGCTATCAGATGAAAATTAAATGGTGGAAACATGGCATAGTTTGAATTGCAGTTGAAAATACGCCTACTGACTTCTCACATATACCTTGCATTTCCGTGCCTAACTATCAGTTCTGCATTTTCGTGTTACTCATGAAATGAAAGTGAAGAACACTCGAAGACAATGCTAGATCTTTTTAAACCATTCTAATTGATGATATTTTTCATTCCAACTTCATTTTTTTTCACAATTTTAATTGTGCGGGCCAAATGGAATGGCTATTGAGAATAAATTTATTACATCTGTTAGGTATTCCACTCCAATGTCATATCATCCTTTGGTGAACAGCATTGGTAACAAAATGATAGAAATTCGCCGATACTTTTACTAATGAAAAGTCCGACTTGTCATCAAAGAGAAGGGCTCATTCAAATAGCATATATTTTCCTAAAATATGAAAGTGATGCCTAACACCGGAAATATGTTAAGCTTGAACAAGTGAATGTGAACCAATTCACTCAATTCGATAACAACATACCTCATCGAGTAGTAATTTACGTTTTCTAAATAACCCATAGAAATTCTCTCCAAATCGAATTTCACACCACATGTAAGTAGCGTCACAAATAAAGTGTACGCTAATCGCCCAAGTCCTAAATAATTATTCGTGTCCTCATCCTACAATGGTCCGCCTTGCGCGAAGGCTCTTTAATGATCTAAGATGGTGAACGCCATGCCTGAAACGTATGTGTGTTGCTGCAGCCGTCTTTCAGAGCCCTTTTTACTTCGTTATTTGCCTAAATAAAGTTGTTGGAGCGGAAATTTCGCCGTCTTCACAAAGGCGGACAACACACTTTTATTTACCAATTGCAATATTTGAGTGTTCGAACTGCTGTGGCAGAGACTTTTGACATACGTATGAATTCTGATTATGCTGCAATAATTATTCCTCGTAAAATCTTGTTTTTCACCAGCATATCGACTAGAAAGGGAATCGCTCCTTATCTTCACCCAAAGTCTCCTTAAGATTCCATTTATTCTTGTAATAACTGGGCCGTAAAGTTACACACCAGACGAAACTTGTTTGGTCTTGACATTAGTCTTCGCTAGTCCCCTCTACTTTTACCTATTCAATTTCGTCTTCTTTTTAAAAATTCTGGGGTAGAAGCGTTTTTTAGGACATTCGTATCATTCACACTCTTCCCTATGTTCTCTGAATAAAGGAAAAACGAGCGACCAACTCATCACTCAATATTTTCCTCATGTAGTTCATGTCAGTGTCAAATGAAGTCGTGTTTCGTCCATTGCCGACGTCATTTCGTGCACTATTTCCCCCGTGGGCAGAGCCCCCTTCCTATCTCGGTCAGATAATATCATTTAGCTGATCAGGGAACGCCACTCCCTCCGCTCCAGTCGTCTTCCTAATAACGTACAAGTAGAGTACTCAACTAAAGTGTGTCGAAGCTCCATACGAGTAATACCTTCACCGAAATCACCTCTTCTCATGTTTACTGTTATATTATGACAGCGTTACCATTGCATTCACTAGTGTCAATCAAACTTTGCACCTATGGTTCAAAAAAGGCAAGCTAATGTTTCCTATTTGCAGAAGGTGAGCTGGATATACCAATTCATTTTTGCTTTTCTCGAAATTTCCCATCTTAGGCACAAAAACTACTCGACGGATCGCATCAACTACGTATAGATTCTCATCACGTTGGAGCTCCAGGCCACGGCGCAGGTGACAAAACAATTCTATTAGAACGCTTCTCAACAAAGCATCTGTCGTCTTACGCATAACCAAAAACATCTGAATCTGAGAAATGTTTATTGGAAAAGAAGTCAGAAAGCTAAAATACGATGTTCGTCGACTTTGAGTCGCTCATAACACTTTGAGACTCATCGGATTACAGATCAAAAAAACGAAATATTAAGCAATTCTGGGCAGTAAAATAAGCTGATTCTTCAGGCCACGGTCATAAAAAGGAGTTTGGTCCTGCGATGATTCTCTACTACCTTGCATCTGCTTTTCGAGCTCTCTATCCACGTTTAGACGACGATTTTGTTGACAAGCTTAACTATTACTACACAACCACAATATGTAAGTCAGTTTTCTTTTCTTGCATTCCTCCAAAAACAATTACCATTTCGTATTTAACACTTCACCTGTTTACCTAATCAGGAAAAGTTAGAAGCTCATTTTCAGTGGCGTCATTCGCGCTCCTCGTTTCAGCGAAACAATATGTTGGTAAGGACCGTCGTATAATCATTTTCATCGGATATGTTTTTTAAAAGATTAAACGCTTATCCGCTCGAAAGTTACAATTGCAAATAAAAGTTATAGCATTTTCTTAGCAATAACGACAAGTGAACCTCAAAACTTCCATTCTCCATTATTTTTTGCCTGCCTTGCATGAGGAACTCATATCTGCTCCGCGTCAGCAAAAGATTTGAGGATATAAAATATATATTAAATCGAATCCATAGCCTTTGTGCTAAAGTGTATTCGGGAAGGGAAGATTAAATAATCAATGTTCGCCAACTATTCCATTTCAGGATTTCCTATTCAGTGCTGGGTACCTGCTACATTTACAGACGCAATGGAACAGTATACGGAAAATTACTGCTGGGTACAAAATACCTATTGGGTTCCAATGCAGGTGTGCTGATATATTTGTGCATCATATAGTATTCGGCGCCAATTATCTAGAATTTCGAGATTTTCTGGCAAATTCTGAACCTTGTTTTCTTTTTGTGATGCTTCCGAATTGCTAATTTTTCGCTAAATGCTCGACCAGTTATGCATTCAAATTCATTTACTCAACTGTGTTGCGACAGTTATGGTTTCGAATCAGCCAATTATGGCTATCGCAAAGTGCTAAGGAATTACGTTAAGAATGAAGTCTGTTAGGCTGACTTTCTCAAGCTATACCCGGAAAACATATGTGTAGCTTTCAGGAGGACATTCCTCGTGAAATTTATTCGCGTCGCAATCGACAAATTGGCTATTATCAATGGGTACCTTTTATACTGGCGATAGAGGCTCTACTTTTTTATGTGCCATGTATACTTTGGCGAGGTCTACTTTACTGGCACAGTGGTGAGAATAGTTGTAGATTTACTGTTTATTTATTCAACTGTTTATTTATCCATTACTATCACTTTTACTATTCATCAATAAACTTACCTCATCTTCTCCATCACAACCGCTTAGCTGTGTTCTTTTTTAAACTCCATGAAAAACATGAGGATGAAACAAGCGATAAGCTGGAAATGAAATAGAAACGAAAGCACGCGTGCATTTTAATTGGCAGTTTTCTACTCTGATTCGACTATTATTATTACTATTACTATTATTATTATTATCATTATTATTATTATTATCCCTCGAAATGATGCAAAAACCAGCGTCAATTTTCTAAAAAAAAGTATTAATAATACCGAAAAAGTGAGGAAAGACAATCATTGGAAGTAGATGGTTATACAAATATGATTCAGGGATAAATTTACAAGGACTTGTTCAAATGGCATGTGACGCTCGCTTAATGGATTCCGAAGTGAAGACGCGAACAGTCTATACGATGGCTCGCCACATGCAGGACGAGGTACAGGTACGGGAGCGGTACTTCTCTTCTCCTCGCATTCCGCTCTCTATATTGCTCGGCCTACATTCTCCGCTGCTAAGACACAGTGGTTGTCAACTTTCTCTTAGCTGTCAGACTTTTCGATTTAGTCTAGATTTGCTTTAGCTGACGAACATCGACCGCTCGACGCGGTCTCGGTCTTGTTTCTCCAGCATGCAAGTGGGAGTGAGCTGTGGAAAGCATTGTGGTTGTTACGTCACGATGCTTTATATTGGCATCAAAGTAAAACATTCATTTTTCAAACTTTTGAATTGAAAACTCAGGAGATGAAAATAGAAATTTCAATGCGTAAATCTAAGAAATGTGACTTTTGCTTGTTGTTGTAGATAAGTGACTATCGCCATATCTGTTACATTATAGTTCGGCATCGTTTCAGATTCTCTATTCAGCAAACGTTCTCTTGCAATTTTTTCTTTTGAATCATCTGCTCGGCTCGAACGATCTAGCCTATGGTTTCTCATTATTGAAAGACCTTATGCATGAAATCGAATGGGAGCAGACCGGAATGTTTCCACGAGTAACACTTTGCGACTTCGAGGTTACTTTTTTTATTTATTGTCTTAAAACATGAAGCGGATTGTTGGAAAAGTTATTAAATTTGAATTTTTGGCAAATTCTTTTATCCGTAACTCTGTTACATTTTCCTGAATTGACGTAGCCCTATTATCAACATAGTAGTATAAAAAATTTGACTATGCAGGACACTTCACTGTTTGGAATCCTATGAAGCCTAGCATTTCAACGTGTCAAATACTTCAGTATTAAAAAATTTGTGTAAGAATTTAACAAATGAACAACAATGAACAATGTGGCATGAACTAACTGCTACTGTACCGACTAAGGTAATATTTAGTTTTTCATTTGTATAGATAATAGTTATAGTCGAAGAAAAAACATTTTGTTTTAAAATAGTCTTACTTTCACTAACACGAGCTTCCTGGATAGTGGAGCGGCAAAAAGAACATACTCATGACACAGATTGTCTTTCTTCTTCAATTATCACGGTTTTGGTTGAATTATTGGCTAGAAATGGTATCAATATATTTCTATTAACTGCTACAAAAATCATTAAGCTCTTGAATACGAGACATCTCACCATTTCAAAAAAACATCAATTACATCATTCACCAAGCCTTCGATGAACCGTCGCTAGCTAAGCTGTAGAAGGGAAATGTTACTGAGTGCCGAAATAGGACATACCGCGAAGAGCTCATCTCCAGTGCACAGTAGCTGGAGATGAAACGGAATTCGGAGCTAATATCTGGAAACGCAGCCACGAGTAAACCTAGTTAGAATCCCCACTTTCATAGGAAAAAAAATCTAGTTGTAAGGTGGAGAGTATCTCTCAGATCAATGAGTACTACCTAGTGTGGCGATTTGAGAGAACATTGCAATGTATTATTGAGACTAAAAAGGATAAAAATCATTAACGACCAATAATATATCTGTCAAGACGGAAATGTGCATGTTTCTACAAGAAATTTGGTGGAGGGCCATACAGTTGTTATCTATAGACAGTAACAAGAGCATTTATAAGTATCTGGCTGTTATAACCAGTAGTGATGATATTTTAGGTTAGAGTTTTGGGCAACATTCATCGGCATACAGTTCAATGTGTGTTAATGATCAACATGTTCAATGAGAAGATATTTTTGTTTTTATGGTGAGTTCTACTCAATAACGAAGTGATTTATTGCTAGATTTAACAGTGCAATATATGTAGCCACTTTTCATCTTTTGTGTGATGATAAAAAGTTGCGTAAGTTTACATTTTAGTCATATTTACTATTGTGAAAATTAGATGGAGTCCTTCACAACAAGTAATAATCTCAGCTGGAAAACGTGATTGTGCTATAGATGTTGAGTTAAACCTAGGATTTTGAGTACCAGTGTTAAACTATGATGAGGTTCAAGGTCGAGATGTTCGTCTTCAGATTTAACTTAATTTAGTATTAGATTAGTCTATCTTTACTGAATGAAACAACCAAAGGATAGGGGATAAGTGGAATAATGCGTTGATCAGTCCCTTAGGAATGAGCCCTAGATTCGACTCCATTAAGTATAGCAGAGGTAATTGAATGCATATTCGGCTTAAGAAATGATCTGCGATAACCAATCGAATACCAGTGTTTTTATCCTTTCGGAAAAATTCAGCACGAATTTACTGCCTTAAAGAGACGGGAGGCTTGATTAGTTGGAACGTCAGATAGAACTTACCATCGCCTGTGTATTATCGAGCACCTATAACCAGTGCGCTACACACGCCTTTTGAATGTAAATAATTTCAAATACGGAATTTGTGTTTGTACTATGTAGAAAGTGTAAGAGAAAGAAGGCGGTCCGTCGATAGAAGAGTGTCGAGTCTACGACGAATAAAACATTGAGTTCTTCCCTGGATGGGTACCTCAGTGTGGTACTTCTCAATGAAACTTTATGTTTGTAAATTTTTCTTTACTAAACAGCATACTTTATTTAAGCAACGAGTTTGTGGTAGGTTTAAAGATTGGGTTTATCATGGACTGTGAAATTTGACCATCGTTCATTGACCATGAAATATGCTATGGCTTCGAGACCTTAATACCAAACGACGAGTTTTAATTTATCGATGTGCTTCCAATTCGAAAGAATTTGAATTTCGGCATCTTGATAAGTGAAAGTTTATTTCTGCTCCTCTTATCTCCTCTTATTTATACCGCTTAAAAGACGGCCCGTAACTAATGGCTAATAAACGAGTGAAAAATAAAGTAGACCAGTACGAAAATGTCACAGATTAAAAGCATGTGACCCAATAAAGGTGGTACTACATAATAATGTTTAATAATTAATTTATTGCCTATTACTTTTTCCATACGTGAATCACAATCACAAATACTCCGAGATATGAGAAAAACTTGGAACCCTGTGAACTAAGAAACACGGCTTAATCCGAGTAGTTGTTCAATACTTGTTAGGGTAATCGTTGGTTTGAAGCTCAGCAAGGTTCTCAGTTTTGCACACATATCAACGTCATTGTGTTTCACATAATCACAATCACATAATCAATCACATAATAAACACTATGCTATGCCATGAAAAAAATAACAGGCAGTAAATATGAGTTAGACATTGTGATTTCTGCCTCAGTTTCAGCTTGATTGTGTTCAATGCCGATTTCTGCTACCTAGATCAATCCCGTTCATGATGGATTGATTGCTCATTGCGCCATTAAAGCAAAAAAGTGACTGAGTGAAAAGCAAAGCAAGGGCAAAGGAAATCGATTGTGCACTGGGTAACAAGCTAGCCCCCAGAAAGGGTAATGTCGAGTTCGAATCTCACCATGGTTTCTAGTTTATTTCATATCTTAGCATCGTTGTGGTTGCACTTTACACGCCAATGATTTGTCGCACTATGGTTTGAGGGAATAAGTATTAGAAGGAAGTCGATGTTTAAGTTGAATCAAAAGATGAATTTTTAAACTTTATACGACTTTAGCTCCACGAGATGTTTTGAGGTGAATTTTACAGTACAAAACTAGCATTTTAATGCCGTATTAATAAACATTATGCTTCCTCATTACACATTAGCTCGTTTGCCATAAGTCCGCGCTCTTGCAAATTTAAAAAAAGTTTCCTTTAAGTTAGAACATGATTTCCTTACGAATATCTGTGGTGACAAAAATCCAGTTCCCGTCCTACTGAAGTGTTTTCAGGTTTTGGTTCTTAACAGTTGGCGTAATCACTGTATTTAATACTTGTTATTGGATATTAATCATGTTCATTCCAAGTCAGGTAATTTTTGAATGATTTCATTCTTGCTACTTTTCTCTTTTCGTTACGTATTCCAAGTTTTTTTTTGACCAGTTTTCATTTCATAACTGCTCTGCCCATCAGTTTTGCAATCACTCGAAAACTGGCACACCTACAAAAAGTGTGCTTGTTGTTTGCAGTGAGGGATAAACTGTACTTTGAAATTATCAGGGGATGTCCTTCGTTCGAAAATATTTGCGCGTTCTTGCGGATCATCCGGCGAAACCAATTGCCGATGATGTCACTTTACGGAAATTCACCAACAACTTCCTACGAAAAGACGGTACCTGTTACTATATCATACTCGCTAATAATGTGTGGAGAAAATGTGTAAATAAATGACTTTCCTTGTGAATTTCCATCAAGTTTTGCGACCACTATCAGCCAGTTTATGCTGTTCTGGAGTTTTACTAAGTATTGACTAGTATTTCAGTCTTTATATGAAAAAAGTCCTTAAAAATACATATAAAAGCTCCAATAAAATTTGCAAAATTGGTCTGCAATAATACTCTGCAACAGTTTTAAAGCGCCGGGACTAGTTTCCTCTGTAGACAAAATCAGCCTATAACAAGAAAGATCCGATAGCATTAACTTCTCAGTAAGGGGATTTCGAAACATTAACGTAATAAAAAAAAGTGTGAATAGTTCGGTTTCGATCAATCCTTAAGAAGAGCGACAGGTTGTCGACCTCACCGACCTTCGTTAAAGTGCTTCTAGACAAGTATGGTGCCAATCTGCGCTTCACGGAGGTATGGAAAACTTGGTAAGCTCGTGGTGCGGGATCGAAACAATGATCACGTGTGCATTGAGGGGCACCTGTAACAACTGCACTACATGCGCCCGAAACGTCAGCATAATCACAAATATCTATAGGATGAACCATATTCTCCAAATCCTTCACTAAAGAACAAACTACTCTGTGATTTTGCTGAAAAATTACGTTCCTTTATTTCATAGTCGATATCATAGAATTCAATAAACCCTTGTTCTGCTCACTAATTCATGAAATACAAGATAAGCAAGGCGTTGAATTAAAGGGACAAGTTTTGATTCTTGTTTTAGTTACTGTCGAAAGAACAACATATACACATGGTAGGGATATTCCACCCTCAACTTAAAGTCAAATAAAAACTTTAATAAAGACATTAGGATAAATTTCTGATAACTTCACAAAGATTCGTGATAACAGTGTGTTTGTAGGAGTGTTTATGTTACGTATGATCTCAACACATGCCGGTGAGTTGATGAGCAGCGAGCTGATCCTGGCATTGTGGCAAGATTTCAACAACGTTGATCGATCGCCAGCACAATTCTGGGACGCTGAACATGGACAGGGCGCACTTGACTAGACGGATGAACCATTCTGTTCTCATTGTATTCAATCAGATCTCAAAGTATTTTGCATTTCGAATGAACACCATCACCGAAACTTGCATGTCGCCGATTTTCTAGTCCCAAAACAATACTTCGTACGAGAAATAGTCGTTATTCGAAATACGGAATCCCCACACTTTCGGATAAAAGACTTATTACTTCAAACTTCTTGGCATCATAGGTGTTTATGGTTGGCACCGATATTTTTGTCTTCTATTGCGCTATGTTCTTTTGACAACTGCCAGTGCTAGGTTTAAGCCCTGGGTGCTGCGTCGTTGACGCAAAAACTTGAATGCTTTCCTTATGTCATATTGTGCTTGCCGGTCTTCAATCGCCGCCTGCCTCACACGTCTACACTGTATTATTTATGCTTTGTCATCGTATTTGTCAAGTAATTCTTTGAAGGATGAATATGTAGGTGTGTTATGGAAACAACCAGTCGAATGTAATTGGATTCGTAATACAATTTAGAACTTCTCGTTTCCATTTAGCCCGTTCTAACTGCTACCAATACCGTAATACATGATATCCAAGCAGTGCACTCGATTCGTGCCTCGATTAGGTCTGCAGTGGTTGAACATTTCGTTTGCAGAACTTCGTTTATTGGTGAGAAAGTTAGACAGTGTGATTCGCTCCGTTGTACACTACTCAATATAACTGTGAATTAGGTGATTATAGACTAGATCTACTTTTATTCATTTCTCATCCACCCATGCATCGTCATAAGGCGTTTAGTGGTGCGTACGTCAACGTCTATTTCTACAATACCTCATCGATTCGAAACACTGCTCTGTACTGCCATCGTCAAGCATCTCTCATAGCTATAGAATCCATTTCTATGCCACTACTTCCACATTCTACCAATCCAGTGCCATAAAACTTTTCATTTTTTCTTCTTATCTTACCATGTAGAAATATTCTACTGCGTGAACAAACATTCATTCCGGTTCCACATTTTTTCATTACAAATAACATAATTTCTGTGGAGCATTAAATGCTCAGTGATGAGTTTACTCATTGCTGTGTTAATTAATATTGGTAAAGCTTTACGACTATTTAAATAAGCGCATTTAAGTGTAATCTAGCACATCCTTTTGTCTAATAGGGGGTTGGAATAAACGCACAGAAAATGAAAAGAATTTGAGCAAGTTTTCAAGCATACCGGAAATCAACGGCTTTTAATTGAACAAAGGATGTACGATGCATTACTTTTCACAGAAATAACGTAGAATATCGATAACATTCAGAAGCAGCACCCAAATTTGACTAAATAACTCTCTGCTGTTATGGCTTATTGAATACATTGCAGTAGAAAAAACACCGCATTTAACCATCAGGAGGGAAAATAATACGCTAATGAAAGCAGACTCGATTACAGTAAATGAAAACACACTATATATATATACATGTACATATATATATATATATAAATATAAATATATATATGACCGCGATGGAAGGTTACAACCAACGCACCATACAAGACTTCCTATTCTGCAGCTTGTGTACGCTTTTTTCTTTTTGGCGCTGGCTCCTCCGACTCCTTCTTTAAAACGGTGGACGCGGAAAAAGTCTAAAGACACAAGATAGCATTTGATGTCTTCAAAGTAAGAAGAGATTTTATAAAAGTTATTAAAACAAATAAAAAATTATCCTAGAGTCAAATCAAGTGCTAATCGATGAAAACTTCTTTCAGCTAAATGTATTAAACACCATTTTCGACGATCATTCCCTATTTTTTGTGGTGTTTTCGATAACACCACTATAAACACTGTTAGGTTATGAAATTAACAAATCTGAGTATGCTATGTTAGCCTCAGACTCGATAATGAAGATCTTATAATCCAAGAAGTGCCGTAACGATGGAAAAGATCTCTATTTCATCTGACAGAACGGTATGGAAGGAACTTCCTGTAAAGACTATCTAAGTTTAGCTCGTGTGATCTTGATATGTTCTGTTGCCCGCTTAGCGAACCAACCTCTTTCCGTTATCACTCAAATATCAATTAAATGACATTGAAGTGACTGCCGTGTACCATCTGATTATTGATGGAATCTACTCAATAGTAACTTGTAGTAAAATCTTTTCAGATTTTTAAATTGCAACTATGGCTTTAGAAAGAGAAGTGCTCATCCTAGATTCAAGTACCTTTCCTTTCGCTAGACATTAACGTAAAGAACATTATTCGTTTACAACTGAATTCACTTAATAAGAGAAAGTAAACAAACAAAACCGTGAAACCACTTAATGCAGGCGGAACTACTGCAGAATACACAAAGCGATGGTGTGGACATCAGCCAAAAAAACAATCACTTTCTTTCACGATCGCTTTTAGTGGAGCTTTGAAAGACAAATGTGAACATCGTTCTCCAACACCTATGATTTTCCAGACAATGGCTTGACCTCAACTTCGAAATAGCCTATCGAAAGCAGCAAAACCGTTCCCGATATTTTTCAAACGCATTTGATATGACAAAAGGCATCACCTGTGTCATCTGTCGTCCCATTGATCGCTGAGTCACTCCAGCGGGCGCCGGTTAAATCTCCATCTTTTCCTGTCGCGTGCAAGAGTAGCCGCTTGCCCTACGGACTCGTTAAGCATCATACCTTTCAAGGCTATTTATTATGAAGAACTCTGACCATCGGGTCGGTGGTCTTCCTGCAGTACGTTTGGCATCCCGAGAAATCCAGTCACTGACGGCTCTTGTCCATCTGTTGTCATTCATACGCATTACGTGTCCGGCCCAGCTTATCTTCGACTGTTTGGGGTACAGAACGGCATCTTTGATTTTTGATCGCTGACGCAGATCGGAGCTTCGGATCTCATTCCTTACTTGTGTGGAACGGGATACTCCTAGCATCGCCCTTTCGACTGCGCGTTCGATAACGCTGAGTGACCTTTCATCCTGCTTAAGCAGCGACAAGGTTTCTGACATTAGGACAAGAAGTACCGCTGAGTCGAAAAGGTGGGCACGGAATCGAGTGTTCTGTGTTCTCTTCACTACATCCTCGATGCTCTTGAAAGCTCTCCAAGCCGATCGCTTCCTTCTGCTCAACTCCGGAACTAAGTTATTCATGGCATTGATTTCCCGGCCTAGAAGAGATGTGAAGAGATGAGCCACTGTGTTTACGACGACTAGCGCAATGTTCTTAGGTGCTCAAATCTTAGCCTGTCCGGAACGGGTGTTGTTCGATTCTTTACCGATGAAATAGTAAGTGGCATCTCGCAAGGGAGAACCAATGGGATAAGATATCCACCCTTCTTTATTTCATGTGAAGACAGGACGACGTGGTTACTGAAGAGATCGGAGTAGTAATCGTGAATGATTTTCTCTATTGCCTTTCTGGAAGTTGTAACTGTTCCGTGTGGGCGTCGGAGTGCAATCATTTTGGTTTTGCAATTGGTGAAGCTTCTGCATTATTTTATAACTTAGGACGTTAGTTCGCGGTTGCCCGCAGCTCGTGCAATTCCACGCTGGCATATCCGCTCCAGTGTTTCTGGAGACAGACGTCTCTTGGTGACTTTCGAACTCTCAGCAATCATACCGCTAATGTGAGGATGTTGAATGGGCCTATCGTATTCTTCGTCGATGTTATCCACAACGATATCTTCCCAACAGCTGACTATTGAATTGAGTAAGTTCGAGCTTACGGTCGTTCTGAGACTTCGGTTTTTGAATTTAGCGGCTTTTTCTCCTTTCCGCGTGAAAAAGAACCTTGCACGAAGGAGACGATTGTCTGATCCTGGGTAGAATTTTCGGACAACAGCGACATCGGTTGTGCAAAACCTTCTATTTACTATGATGTGGTCTATTTCGTTATGGTGCTCTCCATTGAGAGACTCCCACGTCCAGCGTTGAGGGTGTAGCTTCTGGAATTGCGAGTTACCATGAATGGTTTTGGTCGCCGTGATAAACTCAGGCAGCCGCTCACCCTGTTCGTTCCATTCTAAACCGTGGGCCCCAATGTGAAGTTCTTCAGACATGTTTCCTGGTTTTAGCGTTAAAAATCTCCAATGATAACCATGAAGAATGTACGGTCTTCTCAGCGGAACTCTTCGAAGTCCACATAGAACGCTTCGACTTCCTTTTCGTTATAGTTTAATGTCGGCGCGTAAATGACGAAGATCGTCCACATCTCTTCAATCGCAAATGTCCGATTCGGCTTGTTAATTATCGGAATGAATCGATATGGCCGAAACTCGTGTTAATGAGAACGCCGACTCCTCTACTGTCGCATGTTCCGAGGAACAGTTCTTCTCCGGTGCCGTAGACGGCGTTGAATGAGTGGCGTCGTCTCGTCTCTGCCTGTCCAAAGACGTCGTACCTTATCTTTCTTGCTTGAGTGAACAAGTCTTCTATCGACGACTCAGATGCAAGTGTGCATGCATTGTAGGTACAGATGGTCAAATTAGTTCTTTGCGATTTATGCAGCTTAAAATGACCCTGAGATTTTAGCAGCCTCTCTGCACTGCCCCTACTCTATGCTTCTGAAACGGGGGCTCTTTCGTGGCCACGGGAATAAGACCCGTTTCTTTCACTGCGTTTAGCTTTTTGATACTCACAATAGCTTCTTAAGCTCTGAACGAGGAGGCCGAGTAAAGCCATGGGTAGATTGCCACTCTATCCCAGAGAAGGCATGGAGCTGATTTTGTTGAAGGCGACTCCTAACCGTCTCCGATACACTTCTTCGTCACTTGATTGCAGACTTTTGGTCGAACTGACTCGCAGAACACAAACTTCATAAACTAGAACGCACCCACACACGCGTGCATGAATACGCCTCGTAAATACAGACGGTATGTGCCAAATCGGCACAGCAGAAACAGTGAGCCCATCCCCTGGATCGGCCTGCGTCTAGGAGAAGAAATGGTTGCTTTTGGTCCGCGGTTAACCCGCGGTCCGCTACCTGGGGCCGAGTCACGTAGCTTTGTGACTAACCGGTGCGAGATCCTTGCTGTGAACGAGATCCAAG